GCCTCCTGCACAAGACCTAACCAGGGCCTAGGCCAGGCATGAGCCTACAACCAAGGTACATGCCCCTGACCGGAATTGAATCTGGGACCTTTGGTCTGCAGGCCGATGCTCTATTCACTGAGCCAAACTGGCGAGGGTGGACATTTCTTTTATTAACTGAGAGTCTTGGGCTGAGAGTCAGGAGTTCCAATACTGACTTGAGGTCTTTTTACTTCAGCCCAATGAGCCTTGTTTTCTATATTCACCTTCTTTTACACCTCATTAGCATACTTAAAAATTATGAAAGGGACATAATATTATAGAAAGGGGAAAACCTCTACACTCTCATCATCCCATGTCTCAACTGCTTTAACTTCTAGAATTCCCTTTCAGTCTTCTGTAACATACATTTTTTACCATTGTAATAACAAACAATATTTTGTTTATTGCTTTTTCCACAAAATAAAGTATCATTAATACTGGTATTTCCTATGCTGTGAGGGTATTTATCATTTTGATGCCCTGCGTGAAGCCCGCTGCATTTATGTTCTGTAATTTGTTGAATTATCCTTTTGTGCAGGGTTAGAGTGATCAATATCTTTCCCCCCATCTTTTAAGTCGTTGTATTAGGCATGTCCCTGGGAAATCACCCTGCCGGGCCAGCCCCATCAGGAAGCTCAGAGGGCACCGTGAGATTTGGAGACTCCATCATCCCCTTAAATTAGGTAAATGATTGTTTGCGTGTGAGGCTTTCTGTATTATCCTCTCTTGCAGGTCCCCCATTGAGGCTTCCTGGCAACGTGGAAAGACTATGAACACTTGCCAATTACGACAACGTTAGGTGAAAGGTCAGTGTGAACCTGTGCAAAGTCTCAATGACAAATTATTTTACAGGAGTTGTAGATTCATCATGAGAATCACTGTGGTATTCCTGCTTCTTGTTTTCAAGATGTTGCCTGGCTAGCGTGGCTCAGTGGTTGAGTGTTGACCTATGAACCAGTCTGATTTTCGGTCAAGGGCACATGCCCAGGTTGCAGGCTCGATCCCCAGTGTGGGGCGTGCAGAAGGCAGCCAATCAGTGATTCTCTCTCATCATTGATGTTTCTATCTCTCTCTCTCTCTCCCCCTTCCTCTCTGAAATCAATAAAAATATACATATTAAAAAAAAAAGATGTGTTAAGACGTGGAATGGGAACCTTGGTTGTCTGTTAGTGGGTGTGCCTAGAAAGCACTTAAAAGATTTATGCAAGCGTTGGTGCTCTGACCCATTCCCGATAGCCTTGCTTACAGCAATCATTTTCATGGTTGAGATGGAAAACTATGCCGTTTGTCCGACAGTTTGGGATGATTAGGGACTCACTAAATGTGTGACATGTGGGAGCAGTGGGGCCAATGGGAGGTGTGGGTTCCAGCCCCACTCCGGCACCAGCCGAGCTCTGCATCACCCGTGAAGTGAGATCCTTGGACCGGAAGGGTTTGGAGGTTGTTCCCAGCACTACATTTTATGATGTAAGCCACAGTGACCTTCAGCTCTCTATTGCGTTGTTAAGGTTGCCGAACAAAATACCACAGACTGAGTGGCTTCAGCAACAGAAATTTACCAGCTCACAGTCCCGGAGGCTGGAAGCCCGAATTCCAGGTGCCGGCAGGGTGGGTTCCTCCTGAGGCTGTGATCTGTCCAGGCCCCGCTCCTTGGCTTGGAGGCGGCTGTCTTCTCCCTGTGTCCCTTCTCATCACTTTCCCTCTATGCGTGTCTCTGTCCACCTCTCCCCTTTTTTCAAGGACACCGGTCCTGCTGGATTAGGGACCACCCTAATGACCTCACTGTAACTTTTTCATCTCTGTAAAGACCCCTCTCCAAGCAGGTCACACTGCGGTACTGGGGGTTAGGACACTCTAGCATGTGAATTTTGTGGGGGACACAGTTCAACCTATGGAAGTATTAGGGGCAGAAATAGAATAGGGGACTAGCTATAATTATAAGAAATATGAATCATGAGCCCAGAACCGTGGCTGTTCTGTTCTGATTAGAGAAAGCACATTCTAAGCTGGCTGAGAGCTGTGCGCCCCAGGACACAGGCGTTAACCTCGGGACGCGGTCAGTCCATCCTCCTTTCTCCTTTTCTGAGAACTGCCTATCATCATGGAAAGATTAGCAACCTTGTTGCTGAAACAGTCTGGTCCTGGAGGCGCCCACCCCAAGCCTACATTGCCTGTAACCCGTAATCATTATACCTGGCATACTTCTCCAGGCCTGTAATTCTTACTTTCCCATGTAATCTGTGTCCTTCTACCCAATGTAAGCAGCTGGATTATGGGGAGGGGCGAAGATTTCTGTGGGTGACCTGCCGCTCTCCCGTACTGCCGGCAGGATTGGAATAAATGCTCATATAGGATTCAACCTCGTCTCTGCTTAGTTGGCTCAAGTAGTGACAGGCAGCACGGACCCATGGTTGTCGGGTTTCATGAGCTGAATTGCCTGTTAGGTTGAGATAGTTCCCGTTAGCACAGAGAGATGTTTTCCTCTCTCCCTCTTGCCTTCTCTCTCTCTCTCTCTCTCTCTCTCTCTCTCTCTCTCTCTCTCTCTCTCTCTCCCCTCTAAGGAAGAATCCTTCCCTGTCTATTCCAGCTCCAATCATTCCTTGCCTTGTGGCCCCATCACTTCCATGTCTGCCTCTGTCTTCACATGGCCTCCTGTGCTGTGTCCTGCCTTCTCCCCTTCTGTTTTTTACAAGGTCCATGTGCCATAGGACTTAGGTACTGCCAGCCCAGGGAGGGACGCAGTGGTTAATCCAGGATGATCTCATCTCGAGATCTTTAATTACACCGTAAAGACCCTTTCCCCAAGTAAGGACACATCCATAGGTGTCAGGGGTTGGGATCTTTTATGGGGCCACCATTCAATCCACTACACAGGACTTCTCAGATGACCTCATTACAGCAGCCACATTCCCAGTCCTGGTCTTGTCACCCAGCTCAGTCTGAGGGGGGTCTGGAGAGCCTTGAGGTCTACTCCTCTTTTTGACCATAGACAGTTGAGGGACCACCTCCCTGCCTTCTCTTCTGTGCTTGAGGGGGCTTCCCTCCCCACCATCCTGCCCTCTGCGGGATCCCGGTGAGAGGAAGCCTGCCTCCTTCCGTGTTCCCTGGGGCCTCTTAGGATCGTTGAAGGCCCCTAAAGAACCCCTGCTTTTTGGAGATCTGAGTGCACCCCAGAGTGCACCAAGCATGTTAAAACACTCTCTCGTGCCACATCCAGTCCTTCCCTCCTCCCATAAAAATAATCAGATTTTAATAACTTCGTTTTTGAAATGATTTGGCTCTAAGCTTGTTTAATTTACGATTGGCTGGGTTTCCTGGCCATTATTATGCATAGTAAGGAGTTCTCTGGAAGTGAGAAAAGCTAAGCCTCAGATTGTTTTCCGAAAATAATTAAATTTTTATGAATACCAAAGTCAACAATTAACAAGGTTTAATAGGCATTGAGTTAAACATTTATTAATTTAAATTGCTACAGCTTTTTTTTTTTTAGTCCAAGATACAATATTTTTTATTGTTTTAATCAATTTCGTAGGCCCCCTGGAAAACCGGAAACCTCAGGTACTGGCCGGCTGGTTTCTGATTCCTGAGGGGGCCCTGCTTTCTTCATGCCTAGTCGCCCCTTCCCACTAGGAATTGGGATTCCTCCTTCCCAAATCCTAGGCTCCCCCAGCAGGTGTCTGCTGTGTCCCTCCCGGGGCCGGCAGTACCAAAATCTGCAGACTGGGTAGCCTATACACAACAGAACTTTCTCACGGCAGCCACAGCTGACCAGCACAGCCGGTCTGGCTCTCTCCCAGGTCTGACGGTCACCACGCCATCATCCGGACGCAGCATATGAATGTGGTGCCATCATCATTGTGAGTGACTGGGCCAAAGAGGCCTGCTCCTATTGGACCCTCCGGTCATGGCCACTGTGATCGGGGGCCATACTTCTGCTCACGTTACCCACTGGCAGGGTCGTCAGAGAAAACACAGGATGTCACACCCAATCCGAATTTCTCATGAACAGCAAATATGACGTTTTTTAGCACAGTGTGTTCCAAATACTGCACAGCACATACTGACACGAAAACATTGTTGTTGATCTGAAATGCAAATTTAACCAAGCATCCTGTTTTAATTTTTGGCTAAAGCTAGCAGCGGTGCCTTTGGTCTTTTTATAGAAGGCTCAGAGAGCAATGCTTCTGACCTGGAGCCCTGGTTCTCAGAGTGACCCTAGTTCGGAACAGAAAGTCTTGGGCAGCACCCACACTTCCAGAACCGGAACCTCTCAGGGTGCTAGCTTTCTGTGTGTTTGTTCTTTTTTTAATGTCTTTTTATTGATTTCAGAGAGGAAGGGAGAGGGAGAGAGAGAGAAAAAAACATCAATGATGAGAGAGAATCATTGATCAGCTCCGTCCTGCAAGTCCCCTACTGGGGATCGAGCCCACAACTGGGGCCTGTGCCCTGACTGGGAATCTAACTGTGACCTCCTGGTCCATAGGTAGATGCTCAACCCCTGAGCCACGCCGGTGGGGCTAGCTCTCTGCATTTTGACATCGCTCCTGGTGACTCTGCTGGGAGCTGTGGTTTGAGGGCCAGGGACCTAGAGAATGATGCTGGTGGTGGAAGGTTCCAGCCTACCCTTCCCCCCCGCCCCCCTCCCCCACCTTCACCGGCACCCCCCACCCCCACCCCCACTCTCAGACCCTCCCCAACACGTTTGATCTGCTCCCTCAGGGCATGGGACTCGGCTGTGACGTACATGATGTCAGGAACGTTCCAGAGTCTGTTTCCTTGGGATTCTGTGGCTTCCGATAAGACTGCAGTGGCTTGTACTGCGGAATGCTCCTGGCGCTTGGCCTCAGGCTCTGCTCCACCCGCCCGATCGGTTCCCGAGCCCGCAGGAGGCGGTGAACCAGAGAATTTATTCTTCCGGCGGGACCTGCCAGTCACGGCCGCGGGGCGGGGCCTGCGGCGGGGACACGTGTGCGGGAGGGAAGCAGGAAGTGACTTCGGCGGTGGAGCCGGCGAACCGCAGCGGGGCTGATGGCAGTGGAGTGGGGGCGTGAGAGGGCAGCCTAGTGAGTCGGCTTTTCTCTCCTTCGGCGCCGGCGGGCGGGGGCCGGGGCCGTCGGGCCGGCGCGTGGGACTTGGCAGGGCCCCGCGGAGTTGGGAAGGGAGTGCCCTGGGGACAGCAGGGGGCTGGAGGGAAGCCGGCGGCGTCGGCAGGTGGCAGAGGAGGGAGAACGGGGCCGGCTGGAGGGTGTGGACCTGCCTCCCTCACCCAGCTTCAGGCGGGGACCCTGCAGCCAGTGGGGTCCCTGCGGTCCTGGGAGCCCAGGTGGCTGTGATTCCGGCTGCTCTGGGCCCCCTTCACCGGCCCTGGGGGTCAGCGCGCCTCCTGAACTTGACCTGGACTCTGGTTAAGGTGCAGCCGGCCTGGGATTGTGCATTTCCAACCCATCCCCCGGGGTCAGCGGCTCTGCCGACCAAACCAGCCAGTCACAGCAGCCCAAGCCCCAGCCACTTCTGTGGACCCCCCTGCGGGGTCCGGCGCTGTGTGCACTCCCCCTGAGTGCCTTTCCACCTCTGCAGCGTGGCCAGCATCTTGCAGCCGACTCTCCACTCTGACTCTCGGAAGCAGGGCAACAACTAGGAGGAAAAGAAAGAAATCCCGATCAGCCCACCCTAACCCTGACTGTCGGAGAGTGCACACCCCGGGGTGGTGTGGGCACATTTAAAGTTGGGGTGAGCAGGGAATACCCCCTTGCAGTCTAATCCAGGGTCATGACTTAGCATCCAGCTCCCAGGAAGACTGAGCCCCATTGTGGAAGCTGCTGTTGAGGTGCCGGGCGCCGACACGCCCTGTCCCCACGGTGTTACTGGTCTACCTGCTGGAGACAGTCTTTGTTCCCTCGGGACTCTCCGCGGGCCTGGCCAGGCCTCCCAGGGCAGGGGAACCACTTCCTGAACTCTGGGTCTTGAAGTTGTTCCTGTTTCTTTTTCTTTGTTTGGTGCAGTCGCTATCCTGAGTTCCATGTAGGCTGCGGGGACACAGTCTGAATCTATAGGTGCCGACTGACTTGGAGGTTTCCTGGCCCCGGTTTCCTCACCTGGGCTCACTGGGCTCACCTGGACCCACAGCCTTCCTGGGGTTGAGTCCTGGTTATGCTGCTGAGCCCCGTGCCCACGGGCCCCTTACACCCTCCGTCAGAGTTTCCTGCCAGGGTCAGCAGAGAGAGGCAGCGTCTTTGGCCCAGGGTTGCCGGGCCTGGCAGCTGAGCCCCGTGGGGCCGAGCCCAGCCCTGTGGGAGCTGGAAGACCAGGGAGGAGCTGAATGGGCCCTTTGAGAGGCGGCCCTGGGCCCCGATGTTTGTGTGCAGAACACAGGGCTTTTCAGCACGTGGGTTCCTCCGCCCCGTAACTTTCCGCAGGGAGAGGCCGGTTCCCTGCCTGTCATCGCAGAGCGGGGACTGACGACACGCTCAAGTCCAGAGGAGGCTCCCTGAGCAAACGCAAGTGCGGATGGTCCTTCCCTTCTGTCCCTCGGTGGGCAGGGGTGTAACTGCAGCTTCGGCAGTTGGCTGGGGGCCATGTCACTGATGGCTCCCTTTCCTGGTCCTCACTGAGGGTCCTGTTTAGATAAGCTTGTCCGCGGTGCCATAAGTAATTCAGCAGCATTTTCCGGGTGCCAGAGAGCCTTACTAGTATGAACGGGATGCCAAATGTGGAAAAGCATCGTTCCGATTCTTAGGCAGCTAATGATGTGAAAGATGAAGGAGGCACCAAAGATGTGTGCAGGGATGGGAGTGGAGGATCGGCAGGCGTGGAATCGAAATTGGCAGTAGGTGGGCAACAGAAGGTACTGGATGTGATGGTAGAGGTTGGGAAAGAAGGGATTCTGGGAAGGAACCACGTGAAGAGAGACTTAGGGCAGGACCACAGAGGCTTGTCCCAGGTGCCATCAATAATTCAGTTGAGCTGGGGCCCACGCAGGGCACCCCGGTGATGGAAACACAGGCTTGAATTGTCCGTGGGCTTGTTGCAGGTCAGTCGGGGGAGTGTGCCCTTGGTAGGCCACGGGAGCTGTGGAAGGTTGGGTCAGGGCTTAGTGGATGACTTTCTAGAAGGAACCTGAGCTAGTCACCTGTATTTGGAGAAGAGAGAACCGATGATTCTAATCAAGGCACACTCAGACCCGCCTCACCATGGGCCTACAGACCCCACGCCTGGGGCCCAGACTTCCCGGGAGCTGGATGGTAACACATGCACCTTGATTAGATTGCAAGGGCAGGAGGAATAGGAGAATGGGCGGGCAGGCTGCACTCAGACCCTCCCTTCCTCCAGCTCATAATCCATCTTCTCGGGAACTGTTTCCCAGTGTCATCACCTCTTTCCTGGTCTCCTCAGTGTCCCCACATCTCTGCTTCCAGAGTTAGGTGATTTCACAGAGGGATGCGTGGTGGACAGGTGCATACGCCAACCCAGACACGCCAGCTCAGGCGGAGGGGGTCAGAACTCAGAACACGTGCGAGTCACCAAAAGGGACCCCGAGCACTGTGGACACTGACCCTCTCGCTCCTCTGCACACAGCCGTATCCAGCATGCTCCGAGGCCACAGCGCTGTGTTCCAGGCCTTGCTGGGGACCCTCTTCACCTGGGGGCTGACGGCCGCCGGGGCGGCTCTCGTGTTCATATTCTCTAGTGGGCAGGTGAGTCGTCCTGTTTGGGTTCTGGAAGTTCATGGGACTCTCAGCAGGCTCTGGAGCACCTGCGCCCGCACAGCGGGGTGGCCACGCCTCCGGGGTGTGGGTGATGCCATTCTCTCCTCTCATTTGCCCTCTTTGTCCCTCCCAGGCCTGGAGAGCAGGTGTCCCTGATCACTTGCTTCTCCCCCCTGATTCCAGGGAGTGGGGAGCGAGAGGCCAGGGATTCAGCCTCCTGGAGCCCCTGCCCGGTTTCTGTCCTCCATCAGTTCCGCCCAGGCCTGGTGCAGGTGGCAGTGTGCGCTGAAGAACAGTAGGTGGGGGGTGGGGGAGGGGCGACTGCCCTGCCCTGTGGCCTTGAGTTCGCTGGGATGATTGGAGAGACGGTGGGGGGAGGAAGGGTATCTGTCCCTTCTCTCTCTCACTCCAAATACGGGGCTCCTCATTCCCTCTGCCACCCCCTTTGGGACAAATACACTCAGACCCGCCTCACTGTGAGCCTACAGACCCCACGCCTGTCCACCCACCCCCACCTGTTTTTACTCAGCCTTATGCACCTACCCACTCATGCACCCCTGTACCTTCACATCTGTCCCTCGCCTTCTATCCCTCCTACACTCCCACCCCTCCACACATACCCCTTTCACCGCACCCTCACCCAGAACCCACTCCCCCTCTCCCCCACTCCACATGCCCCTCCTCTCTCCTCCCCAGCCCATGCCCACCTCCTGGGCCTGAATTCCTTACTCTTCTTCAACCCTCTGCTCCCTCCGTCCCCTAGCCCAGAGCCATCCACGGATCACTTGGTGACTGGATCACTTGGTGACGGCAATCTTCGAAATTGTAGGCGTGCTAAAGCGTCAGTGATTTCAGATCTAGTTAAACACGCAGTGAGGCGGATCTGGAAACTAAACTGTGTCTGGGAAGTTGGCGAGCAAGTCATGGTGGTGTTAGAGACCAGTTCAGCAGGTATCGATGTCAGCGATAAGATCAGACCTCCCCCTGCATCTCCTCCCTCCCCAGCCAGCACACAGCCTGGCTCCCAGATTACTATCCACAGGTAGTGAAACATTCGAAAGCCAGTCCCGGAATGGGAGCCGCCAGGGGCCAGAGGACAGGGTAACAGCTTACCTGACCCCTCCCGATCCTGCCCCTGGGGCAGAACAGCCAGTTTCTTTTGCTTTGAGAAGCTGAGACCTGAGATGCTCTCACTGGGTCTAGCTGACCATCAGGATCCGAGTTAAAGGCCGCACTGCGATGAGTAGGACCTCGCAGCCCCGTGTGGCAAGTGGGGCTCTTCAGAAGTGGGGAGCCATCCCAGAGGGGCCCCTTCCCCTTTGGAGCTGGTCAGGAGGAGGAACTGCTGAGCCCTTTCCCGGTGCGGAGGCACACAGCCGTCCCCCGAGACCACCCACTCGTCCGCTGACTCACTGGGAGGACCCACAGGACTCAGCATGTGGCTGTCCCCGTGGCTAATGCTCCTGACAGCGAAAGGACACCCGGCAGGCTCAGCGAGGAAAGACAGGCAGACTCTGGAGACCTGCGAGCCCAGGCTCCTGCCGCCCTGCCCCTTCCCCAAGACCATTTCCATGAGTCTATCCAGGGAGGCCCATTAGAGACTCGGGTTCCTTTTAAAAACATATTTTTATTGATTGCAGAGAGGAAGGGAGAGGGAAACATCAATGACGTGAGAGAATCATTGATCAGCTGCCTCCTGCACACCCCCTACTGGGGACGGAGCCTGCAACCCAGGCATGTGTCCTGACCAGGAATCTGAACTGTGACCTCCTGGTTCATAGGTCGATGCTTAACCACTGAGCCACGCCAGCCGGGCAGACTCAGGTTCTTATTGGGCACTGGCCACCACTATTCTCAGAATCTCAGAGTTGCAGGAGGAAGCGGGTGTCCTGCAGAAGTCGCTGGGTCTGGAAAGCAGACACAGTGACCCACCCTTAGGGTTAGGAGGTGGAGGGTGCAGGCTCGGGTGGGCTCTGCTAACCCTTCTGCACAGGAGGTGTGCGTGAGAGTGGGAGGGGCACGGCCTGGGGAGACAAAGGCCGCAATAGGTGTGAGTCCACAGGGTACACTCCGTCCTCCTGCGCAAACCCCCGTTTTCACTCAACTGACATGGGGGTGCGGTGAGGATCACTTGAGAGAGGAGACACTCAGACACCAGCCTCTGTTACCAACATCAGTGCAGCTACACTCAGCATTTGTTTTCCTGACTTAAAAAAAAAATGTTTTAATTCTAGGAAACTTGTCAAATATAGAAAAGCTTAAAGAAATACTTTAGAAAGTTTCTAATCCTACTTCGTAGAAAGGAAAAAGCATATTTGCTCAGATTTATTCAGTTGTATTGGAGTATGCTTAAGTAATATACGTGTCTATTTTCTTTAAGGAACAGGGATCAAATTGTATATAGTGTTTCATAACCAGCTTCTCTCATTTGACATCGTAAGCATCCCTCATATCCCTAAATGTTTCTTTGATTACTTTCATTATTCTGATTACTTAAATGGCCATGTAGTGTCCCGTCATAAAGATGTACTGCGATTCATTTACCCAGTCCTCAACTGCTGGACCATCGGGTTATGTCCTTTCTTCCTTGCTTTTAGAAAGAGTGTTATGATGAACACAAATCTTTGAGCACATGTGATTAGTTCCTTGAAATAAATATCTAAAAGTGGAATAACAGGTTTATTGACTTTAAAAAGGTGCAATGTTTCTCCTTTGAAGATCCAGATGAATGCTGCTAGGATGCGTTTCCCTGGCTTCTTTGTCGTGTCTGTTTCCCTAACTTCTTCATTAGATCTGTCTGGCTTGATCACATGAGTTGGTTAGATTAACTTGGTTCATGTCATGGAGCTGCCTACAGTGAAGAATGTCGTTTGTATGCTCACCGGGGTCAAAGCCTTCCATCCACCCCATAGTCACCCAGAGCGGGGACGAGGCTGCTCGTGGCTGGAGATGACCGACCGGACAGCTCTTGTTACCCAGTCCTAATGGGAACCTCACGGGTCAGATGAATAACACCTCAACGTGCCTGTAACATGTTCACATGGCTGTAGATTATATCCCTAATTTAGGCCACTCTTTTTCTTTTTTTGTTAATCCTCACCTGAGAATATTTTTTCATTGATTTTTAGAGAGAGTGGAAGGTGAGGGAGAGACAGAGAGAGAGAAACTTTGATGTGAGAGACACATTGATTGGTCAGGGCTGGGGATCAAACTGCAACCGAAGTATGTGCCCTTGATTGGAATTGAACCTAGGAACCTTCAGTCTGCGGGCCGATGCTCTATCCATGGAGCCAAACCAGCTAGGGCAAGGTTCCCGTTTAATCACGACCTACACCCCAACCTCCAGTGAAAGGCCATCCCTCTCCTGGCCTCCAACAGCAGAGTTGTTTTCTGTTTTGCTACATTATGTAACCGGAGTGGTCATATACTGTATTTTTTCAGTGTATAAGATGCTATTTTTTTCTAAAATCATTAGACTGAAAATCTAGGGGCGTCTTATACACGGAAGTCAGCCGAGGAGGGAGCTGTGTGGGTGCGTAGCTGCCCATACCTTGTCAAACAGGCTTCCTCCAATCATGAGCCTTATTGTTACCGACGTCAGCTGATGCCATAATTGGAGGTGGAGATGGAAAGTGTGCAGATGCAACAGGGACCGGAGCATTCTGAGCCCATAAAGATGTCAAAAAATAAAAAGATAAACACTGGTAAGCGATTGTCTTACTCTGCAAAATTCAAACTGAATGTACTCAGCTGTGCAAGAGAGCGTGGAAATAGAGCTGCAGAGGGACCATTTGGACCTCCTCCCACTGAGCGTATGATCAGACAGTGGAGAAAACAGGAAGAACAACTTTTTTTTTCCAGCAAAGTCTCTTTATTGTTTTCAAATTAATATGAATACATAAGGAAATATTACTTATACTAGTTACTCAGCCCTGGTGAAGTCTCTTTCCTTTTACAATTGAACTATTTCAAGGATCCAAACAGGAATTAGAGACCCTATCCTCTCTTTCCCACCCCAACCACCTGGCCTAGGGGAGGCAGAAAGGAGACTTGTTGAGTGGAACCCCAGACCCACAAACTGGTTGTAGAACAACTCCTTAAGATGCCAAAAAAGAAGAAGGCCTTAAGAGGAAAACCCGAAAAATGTTTAAAATATTGATTTCATAATTTTGGGTTGGAAAAGTGGGGGGTGTCTTATAATTGGAAAAATACGGTATGTAGTATGCACTCTTGGTGTCTGGCTGATTTCACCCCATTTATTTCCCAGTGTCCTGGCCGTCCCTGGCTGATTGTGCACTCCATCCATATATATTTTGTGTGTGTTCTCGTTGCCGTATGGTATTCTGTTGTGTGACTATACCCTAATGATGTACCCACTTGGGTAGTTTCTGGTTTCCGGCTCTCACACACAGTGCTGCCAGGAGCATTTCTGTCCACGTGCTTGGTGACCTCGAGTGTGTGTTCCTGTTAGGCGGTGGCTCAGGAGTGGCACCGCTGGTTCACAGGGTGTGCCTGTGGTCACCTCCAGCGGCTGTGCCAGTGTGCACCCCCACCGGCAGCCTGGGAGGGTTTTGTTTGGTCTGCATCCTCCTCGCCAGCACTTGCCCATTTCCATCTCGGAGGCCAGCAGCTCACTAAAGGCTCACAGTCATAATTCACAGAGAATGGAAGAGGCAGCACGTGGGCCAGTGCAGGTGGGCTGCCTGGAAGAAGACTCTGATTGGCTGTGGGGTGGATGGGAGGGTAAACATTTCCCCCAGCTGATTTTTGGCCCATTTTATAAAGGCTCGGATTCAGGCGGATTTGATCCAGGTGTGGGCCGGTCTTCATTCACCTGGCTCTCTCAGGGGTTATGGTTCCCCGTCGTCCCAGGAATTATCCCTCAGAAACTGAAACGTCCTGTTTTCATTTGCAGAGGCGGATCCTAGATGGAAGTCTTGGCTTCGCTGCAGGGGTAAGTGGCATGTTATAGGAGGAAGGTAAATTGAGGCTCGTTTACTCTGACATTTCTCTGCTGACGGGTTTTTCCGGTCTCTCCCCACGTGACCAGGATGCATCTCTGATGTCCGGGTGCTAGGGGCTCCCTCTTATCACCAACCCGGTTTATTCCCGGTGTAGTTAAGGCCCCGCCTCTCTTTAGACAGCGAAAGGAGCTTGTTGGGCAGTTGGCGGAGAACTTGTAAAACAAGATAACATTTGGGAAGGGCCTAGCACAGGGCTTTGTGGGCACTAATTCAACTTCTCTTTCTCTCCTCCTCTTCCCTGTAAAAGACCTTTTGACATAGACATCTTCAAACATGTAGAAAAGTGGAGAGAGTTCTATGCACGCCAGGTACCCGCCAGCCAGCTTCAGTCATTACTGACATGAGGCTGACCTCATTTCGTCTGTCTTCCCCCAACTTTCTTGGGAGGTTGGAATAGTTAGTAACAGCGAATCCCAAATAAGTAATGGCACCTGTAAATTCAGCACACCCAGAATGCCTTGTATTTTTAAAAAATATATATTTTTATTGATTTCATGGAGGAAGGGAGAGGGAGAGAGAGATAGAAATGTCAGTGATGAGGGAATCATTGATTGGCTGCCTCCTGCACAGCCCCTTCTGGGGATCGAGCCCACAACCCGGGAATGTGCCCTGACTGGGAATCAAACCGTGACCTCCGGGTTCATAGGTCGACACACTCAACCACTGAGCCATGCCGGCCAGGCTGCCTTGTATTTTTGTAAGCACAGTCACCATGGCATTAGCCATAATTCCTGCTATAATCCGACACCCAGCCCACATCTCCAGTGAGACCCGGAGGCTGGATGAATTGGGATTCCGATTTCGGGTCTGAGCATGCCATGGCGGTACTGTGTATTTGGGCCGTGAGTCCCATCACAAGGCGTGTGACCGGGGTTTTCCCTTTGGTTGATTGGGATGTAGTCCTTCCTCCTGTTTTAATAGTCCTGTGACATGCAAACACTAGCCTGGGGGTGGGACCTCCCCCCACTCTGCCCTCTGCCCCCGCTTCAGAGGTCCTCTGAGTCAGCAGCTCTGTTGAGGGCACGTGGAGACACGCCCCGTGTGACACAGGTGCCCCCCGGAGTGTTAACAGAGTCAGACCGGGTCCTCAGCTCCCGGTTTTGTCCTCTTTCTCAGAGCTGCCCGGCCAGAGAGGCCCTGATTGACAGCTGGCACTTCTTTCTCAGGCCCCTTGCTCAGTCGCCCTCTCCCATTTCACAAAAGAAAGACACGTTCTGGCCTGATTTCCGTGTGTCTGGGTAGCACAGTCTCCACACAGAAGCACAGGGACCCCGAGTGTCGGTGAGGAGAAGGTGCGGGATGCTATCGCCGATCACTGCCCGCAGGTCCTGGCGCAGTTCCGCTGCCATCCTGCCCTTTGATGTGAGTCTAATCCAATTGTTAGCAGAGAGGCCCTTAAAGGCAATGTCCGTGATGGGCCACAATGAGATTTGGAGCTGTAACTTGGAAGGAGTGCAGAGAACAAAATGACATTATTATAACAAAATATCTACTTTCCCCATCTTCCGTTAAATAAAAGACAAGACAAAGAAAACTAGAAACAAATTGATGCCTCACTGTTTTCTTAGAGCAACGACTACTTAGTATTTATCCACGTGTAGAGGAACAGTTAAAAAAAACCCAAGAAAACGGTCTCATCCGTGAAAATGTGCATTTCCAAGCATATTTTATTTTAACGATGATAAATCATGTATTATATTGTTGTTATGAATCTGTTCTCAAATGGTTGTAATGGTAACTCAATCCAGGAAATTGTTACTTAAGCAGCTAGAGCCCTAAGGCTCACAGGAGATTTTAACAAATGGAATTGAAATATATATAACTATATTGAAGAGAGGTGTGATAAAGACCTCAATAATAGACTCTCTAGCCTAAAATCTGAATTGCTCGAGGGTAAAAGTCTATGGGGAAAGGTAATTAAATCCAAGCCAGAGGAGAAGGAATGAGGCAGATTTTCTGACTTTTGAAGAGGCCGCCTGTGCATTCGGTGTGTGTAGAGTAGAACCCACGGCCAGGAACGCGCGAGGAACATAAGCGCACAGCTTCGCTGGTAGGAATTTTTAGGGGGATCACAGTGGGAGTCAAGTCTCGGTGCTGTTTAGATACAGATGAATGGCTGGTCAGACAGTTTTGTATAAACACACCAATATTTATGCGCCAGAAATGATGTCCTTTGCAACTCCATTAACACAGATGAAAGCCTTTTAAATGTCAATTTCAAGTGAGTGATGGGGGTACCTAGTTTGTCAGCATCCTTGTAGGGGCCGCACAGACAGTCTCTGCTCTGTGCTGTCTTCATGCTTGTGCCCAGGCACCCAGGGGTCCTGCTCTGCTTCGCTCTTTTAGGCCAGAAGGCACTCTAAGGTTCTCGTGGCCAAAGACATAAAACAAGGAGACAAAGAGACTTAACCAGAGAGCATTTGTCTTCAGGACATGGAGGAACGAATTCGGGAGCAATAAAGCTCAAACACTTAAGATGTAACTTCCTTAAAACCATCGTCAGACCAGTGTATTACTGTGTTCACTTAACTGTGAGCATTTAAAAAGGTTCACTTTTTTTTTCTTCTCCAATCCTCACCTGAGGAGATGTTTAGAGAGAGAAAGGAGAGAGAGAGGAACATCGATGTGAAAGAGAAACAGCAGTTGTCTCCCGTGTGTGCCCTGATCGAGGATTGAACCCGCCACCTTTGGGTGTATGGGACGATGCTCCAAGTAAACGAGCCACCCGGCCAGGGCTAAAGCAGTTTTACTTCTGATTTTTAAAGTAGTTGGTAGGGGGGAAAAAAAAGATTCTGAAAGTTATTTCTGTGTTTAAAAAATCAGAATAAGAGTCATTTCTTTTTCTGAATTGACCTTGAATGTGAGCTAGTCGCACAGAGGAGCTCCTGGCAGGTCACCAGACGCACAGAGGAAGGGCGGAGGGCGATGTGGAGGCAGCTGGGTCGGACTCGGGAAGCCTCAGAGGCCCTGGTGACGGGCGTGGGCTCTCATAAATGCTTCCCGAGCTCGGAAAGGCGACGGGGCCCAGGTGGCGCGAGCTGTAGTGACCGCGTGTGCTCACCATGGAATCGTGTGTGTCATGGAGCTAATCTGTTGGGCAGAACGGTGGTTCTCCACCAGGGGCCATGTTGCTCCCCAGGGGACAGTTGGCATGTTGGTTGTCACAACTGGCGTCCAGTGGGCAGAGGCCAGGAATGCTGCTGAACACCCCATGATACACAGGATCTCCCCCCCCGCCCCCCAAAGAATCATCCAGCTCCAAGTGTCAGTTTGCCAAGCTGAGGAACCCTGGTCTAGAGAATTCCAATGTATCATCTCTAGTCACAGTGTGGAATGTCTAAAAATTCAGGTGTTTTCCAAGTTTAAAAAGAGGAGGAGGAGGAGGAGGGGGAGGAGGAAGCCCCCTTGCTTCCCAGAGGTCAGCAGTGCTAACCCCGAGCTCCTTGGAGAGTTTTTATGACTCACAGAGCATGGGGGCAGCTCACCATGCTGCAGTGCCCGGATCTGAAGGACGCTGCGTCCTCAGCACAGCTCTGAGACGCCTCGAGTAAATATCTCGGAAAAGCGAAAACCAGCCATCGGTCAGTTGCCTGGGGTCCCATGGCACCTTGCACAGGCGTGACATGTTTCTACGGTCAGTTGTGCATGCATTTATGTATGTGTCGTATGTGCATTGACATATTTATCTAATATGATGCTGCAGTGACATGCTTATACAATATTTACCTGTGCCCTGAAGCGAGGGTTTTGGTGAGAGAGATTCCTGGCATAAGCGTCCTGTGTGTTTTAAACGGGCTTAACCATATGCTTCACAGTTTGTTTGTTTTTTGCATCAGCAGGACCTTGGAAGCAGGAACAGTCCTCCTTAAATGACTGTCCTTAAAATCCATTTGCTTGTTTGTCTCTTGACTCCTTAAATCACCGTCCAAGTCTCTAGTAATCACTGTCTTTTTCTTCCCAGTGCCTGGGTCTGGCCTGATTTTTGCTTGAGGCCTGGAATTAGTGGGGAAGGATGCTACCATTAGAAAGAAGCAGGATGGTCATTATTCCCTATTAGAGTCCCCCAGCAATGCCACCTTAAAGCCGGAGGAGAGTTGAGATGACGATGATAACTGATATTGTTTATCGAGTCCTCGCTCTGTACAAGGTGCTCTGGCAAGCACTGTGATCGTCTCATTTAATGTTCAGAGCAGCTCTGTGAGGCGCATACCAGGTGCAGTTATGTACCCCCTTCCGCAAATGAGGAAACTGAGGCACAGTGACTATTAATAAATGGTTCAGGATTACATGCTGAGCAGAGCTGGGATTTCAACCCACAGTCTGACTGTAGAGCTCCCCCTATTTTAAAAACAAAATTTTTTAAAAATTGATTTCAGAGAGGAAGGGAGAGGGAGAGGGAGAGAAACATCAATGATGAGAGAGAATCACTGATTGGCTGCCTCCTGCACACCCCACGCTGGGGATCCAGTTCGCAACCCGGACATGTGCCCTGACCTGGAATCAAACCGTGACCTCCTAGTTTATCAGTTGACGCTCAGCCACTGAGCCACGCTGGCTGGACCTAATGGAGGTTTTGAATGTGAGGTCTTTTGGACACACTGACATGGGCTGGGCCACAGCCTGAGTACCAGGACGGTGGGGAAGGAGGGTGCTAAACTGGTTCTCTGTTTCTGAGCCAGGATTTTCCTCTTTGTAAGGCTGAGAGAGGCAAAGGGCCCCAAGATCACCTCCCAGGGCCTCCTGGATTCTACTCTGCACATTTCTTGTTCTGCACTGGGATGCAATGGCCTGGGAGGCGGTGCTTGTGTGTTTTAGGGCAAACCTGCCCTTTCAGTGGGCACTCAGTGTGGACGTGGGGCGGTGGACCAGGATTAGCTGGGTAGGACCTGGAGCTAACAGTCCCTGGGGCTGTCATGTGACAAGCTCAGTG